TTTAAAATCGTAATCTCTGGCTATCTCTCGCCTAATAATTCGTCATTTTTACGTACCACGTTTTTCTTCATCATTTTGAAAACATCATAATTGAACATCTCCTTAGTTTTCTCGTTCAAATAGCAACATATACAAATAATATCTGAATCTCTAACTAACGAGTTAAATTCAACTCTAATAGCATTGAGAGGAACAGCCATCGGCTTATCAGTATTTCCAGAATATAATATTTTTCCATTTGCGCCTAAAAATGGCTTAAGTCGACACGCAGTAGCCGCTCCGATTCGACCAAAACCAACGATTCCAACAGTCTTATCAGTCAATTGAGTACCTGACCAATTTATTTTAAATTAAGAAAATAGACTTTTAAAATACTTTATTAAATTATTTAGAGTTTGAATACCTAACATCCAGACTGGACTCCACTTGCTCCATTTCCCATCTTCTATAGCATGAATTCCCTTAATTTATTAGAAAGCTTATGTTATATTTATATCAGTAATAGAACAAAAAAAAAAAAAAAAAAAAAAAAAAAAAAATCGAATACCTCACGTATTCTACGTGCTGCTGCCAGTACCAATAAAGCAGTGATATCTTTTATAACATATAGACTATAAGATGAATATTCAATTCTATTAAAACATAAAAATCTATTTCTAGTTAAAAACCTTATACCTGCAGTCGCGTCTGTAGGTACATCAGGAGTATTTCCCAAATGTATTTTGCGTTTTCGGAGTTCATTTAAATCTACATGGTCATATCCCACTATTTTACGACGTTGATGTTAAATATGAAATATCACTAATATATATACAATTTACGTATATGAAATATCACTAATATATATACAATTTACGTATATAAATATTTAAAGTTAACCTGAACATGTCGATACAACTTTCAAGTTTGGACCAGCTTTATCTAAGAGCTCTAAATCAATCTTTTCAGTTAACATACAAAGGATTCCATTAACACCTTAAGGAATAATGAAGAAATCATTATAATGATTGTTTTCAACTACAGTAATAGTTTTAAAATTTATTAGGAAGGCAACCTAGTACTAATTTCAGCATTTGGTCTCGGGGTATAATATCGTCCTTCCAATGGATAAGCTCGATGTCTTTAGCATTTTCAATGAGTTGCTGTGACTCAGGTGGTAACGTTCTCGTTAATAGAACTTTAGGAAGAGCCATTGTTGAAAAACGACGAAATGTTCTAATGTCTATAGTTTAAATAGTTTTTTAACATGAGAATCGTGCATTAATTGTGACAGATCACAATGAAATCAGATCATAATTGAAATTATAACGAACGATAATGAAATCAGATCATAACGAACGATAATGAAATCAGATCATAATGAAATCAGTTCATTTAAAATTTTTGGGGCCTTTTTTGTTAGGTTTTTTTTTATAGTTAAGTTAGGGTTTAGACATACTGGACAAGCATTCAAATTAAAACTTAGGGTTAGAATTATTAGGAAAAGAATATAGGTGAATTTTGGCACGTATAAGAGATAATTATAAAATATTGAAAATATTGATAATGAGTAATATAATAATTTATATATATTTGAATTATTTATGAGAAATACTACTAAGATAACCAATTTTTTAAAAAATTTATTATGTACTAAAGAATAAACATTATCTATCGCTATACAAAAAAATTTTACTAAAACAATCTTATCTATTGCTACGGGGTAAATTGTACGTTTTTATAATTTATAAAATTAATTTAAACTTTAAACTATATGGTAAGGCAATTCGCCAAAGGCGTGACAATGGTGATTTAGCGTAATAATTGTTTATTTATGCAGGAGGATTTTAAGTATTTTTATTAATAAATTATTTTATAACCCGAATGTTCTTCTTCTCTATAAGGATGATAATACAGCTCTTTTATAACTTCTAAATCATGGAGCGACATAAGGGGCTTTGGGATTACTCAACTACTACTCTTTCTAAATTTTAAATCTCCTTCGTTGATCACGCTAATTCTTACATTTCCTTCGTTAAACATTCAGGTTTCCTTATTCCTTCCTGAACCTTCTCTATCCTACGTTTGCATTATTATTATTAGCTGTAGATCGTACGCGTAATTCTTGCAAATCACGATCGTCGTCCCGGTTTGGAATTTTAGGTGATTTACACTGCGGTTTCGGAAATGTCACTTTTACCCCGTGACAGTACGTATAAGAGATACTGTAATTATAAAATATTGATAATGAGTAATATAATAATTTATATATATTTGAATTATTGTTAAGCAATACTAAGATACCCAATTTTTTAAAAAATTTATTATATACTACAAGAATAAACATTATCTATCGCTATACACAAAAATTTTACTAAAACAATCTTATCTATCAATTATAAGCTTAGTTACTCCAAGAGATCAATATTGGATTAAAATTCTTTTAACTTCGCAAATTGGAAACTTTTGCAAATGTAAACATTAAATTTAATTCCCACCTAAGACATTTAAGAATCTAAAACTCATTTAAGTAAATTCAGAATCAACTTCGAATCCACATATATTTCGTATCCATCTACAACATATATATTCGATTTCACTAGCTAGCATTATATTCTAATTGGCCAGAATTATGCAAGCTAGCCTGAATTACGAAAATTACACTGCGCAGGCTCTCCATCCCTAGTAAAAATTCAGGATTATTTGGCATCACATTTCGAATAATATTTCCGCCTGTGACACTAAACATAAGGTAGATAGGGGTAATTTGGCTAAGTTAACTATTAACTTTATCAGCACGTATCTCGATGTTACATGATCTAAATCAGAATTTTTATACCTTTCGATTCCTCTCGATGAGAAGAATTGAATGATATAAAAATCATGCGATTTGGATTATAGAATTGCGAGATATCACGATTCGTAAAATAGATTTTTTTAAAAAAAAATTAGATCATGGGGGTAAAAGCCAGGTTCATTTACACATAGATCTACATATTGCATAAGTTCCATTCTTGATATCCATATATAAATAAACTACTAAATGTATCAAATAAACTAACCCTAATGAACCTGGCTTTAGACGATCCCCTTATTTAGGGGTCGGTTAAAAGCGAATTCAATATATGATCTACATACTGCATAAATTGCATTCTTGATATTTATATAACTCACAAACCCTAACTGCATCAAAAAGGTAACTCTAAAACCTGCTCCGCTTTAACCGACCCGCTTATTTAGTAATTTTAATTCAAACATAAATCACAACAAATATCACATGATAAATCTAATTGGTCAGCTAGGTAGGGTGGAGGGCAGTGTAAAAAATTCAAAGTCGAAATTAGATGCGCAAAGCGCACCTAATTTCAACTTTATGTGCGCTTTGCACTTCTATTAATAGTATTCCAAAAATTATATGAGTTTAGCGCACATTAATTTAAAAATTTTGCGAAAATTTCTGTATGGAATGCGCACTTATATATATTTTTGTAGTGCGCAAAATAAATTTTATGTGCGGAGCGCACATGCGCACATTGAATTTTTTTCACTGGTGGAGGGCACGGGAAATTTTTTAGGCATGCCCCTTCGTGCCTGGGCATGCCCCCGTAGATAGGGTCCAAGTAATCAATGTTATCATTATATAAGCAGTTAATACTAACCAATCCGAGCGATCTTTGAGTCTAACATTGCTTTTTCAATCTTCTTGATCAGATCATATTATCTAGATTGAATATAAAATGGCAGGATTCCAGTAGCAACTAATAGGTTGTAGAGTCATTAGTAA